CACATGCTAAGGACACACATGAGCAGCACTGTGTCCTGCTGTTGGTGCACACACACAGCATCACACAGACACACACAGAGGCACTTGATGTGTGCACACATCATCCACGTCTTTGTGTCCACAGGTGGGGGCATCAGCGGGGTCCCCCATGGCCCACCTCGGCGTAGATAATGGGGGAGTCAGGGGTGGTAGAAGAGCCGGGGGGGTGGGTGCTGGGGATCAGAACTTGCAGCTCGGCGTAGGTCAGAGCCTGGCTGTCAGCAGGGGACACCTGGGGACACAGGGACAGCAGTGTGAGCATGGGATCCCAACATGCCTGAGGGGATGATGGCACTGTGTGATGTGTGGGGGCTGTGCGAGAGGGGGGGTGTTGGGAGTCTGGGGTGGTGTAGATTTTGGGAAGCTGTGGGTGTGACACTGGGATTCCCTGTGGGTGGTGTTTGGGGGTCCCGGTATGTTTTGGGGTTGCCCATGTAATTTGAGGGTGTTTAAGGCTTGGAGCATCCCAGGGAGCTCCATTTTGGGATTCGGGGCATCCCAATGGTGGAGATTTGGAGGCCCCCATGGACTGGATTGGAGGGTGCACACAATGTCATGGGGAGCCATAAAATGCAGGGCGTTCTTTGCAGTCCCCACAGGAAGGGTTTGGGTTTCCCAGGTGAGGTCTGGGGCAGGGGTAATGGGGCAGATTGGGGTTAGGGGTCCCCTGACCCAGACACTGACCTGGAACTGCACGGCCTCGGGGCTTCTGGTGGCACCTGAGTCATAGATAGAAGGGGAGAGGGGGCGTGTTACGGGGGCACCAATCAACACCTGTGGGGATCTATAGTGGATTTATGAGGGATCAAAGCCATTTAACCCCTCCCCACCAGAGCTCTCATCTCTCTGTATTCGTCTTCTCTGGGCAGCAAGGAGGAATGAGACTATGAGGATGAGGATGATGACAATCACAGCAGCACAACTCCCAGCCACCGCTGCCACCGGGTTCAAGCTGGGACCCCCATTGTCACCTGTGGGGTCAAAGTGTTTGAGCTGTCCCTGTACCCAGCTCCTTTCTCAATGGAGGTGGGATGCAGAGACAGGGTCACCCACAGCTGAGAAGTGGAGCACCGAATGAGGGCCTCAGACCTACCTGGATGTGCAGATCTGGCAATCACTTCCAGGGTCACATTATCACCGAGGCATGAGGACAGACGGTAAAAGCCCCCAACGCGGTAGGAGCACCTATAGGTGCCAGAGTCAGCTGGGGTCACTGCAAAAAGGGTGAAGGTGGCTGTGCCCTGATCATTGGGTTTTTGTTGCTGGAGAGGGGCTGAGTGCCCATCCTTGTGCAGGAAGATGGTGCCCCTATATTTCTGGTTGCTGCACTGGATGGTGACATTGGTCCCCGTCTCCACATGTTCCTTGGGGATCAGGGAAATGTTGGCTGGGGGATAGCTGGGATCTGAGTGCCGAGAGGAGACAGGGATGGAACACAGCTCTGAGGGAACAGCCCAGGGCCATCTGCTTTCCCCAGTGCCCTCACCTGTCACCACCAGCTCCACGGGTTCACTCTTCTCCGATGTCTCTGGTGGCTCCAGCACCGAGTACTGGCACTGATATCTCACTGCATCTTCTTTCTTTACACTAACCAAGGGGAACTCAGCCATGTCCTGTACCATGTCCATGCGTGCTTGCTTTTTAAGTCCCGAATTCCCTTCCTCGTAGAGCTGAACTCGTGCAGCCGGCTGGGGCAGGTGGCACCGCAGGGTGACATTGTCCCCCAGGGACACCCCCTGGCTGGGGTGCAGCGACAGGGAGGGTCTGGGCACTAGGACAGGGGACAGCAGTCAGCCTTGTCCCTGCACACCTTCCTCTGCCCCTCTCATGGTCCTCTGACCACACTCCCCTCCCTCTGGCCCCATTCTCCCCCTGTCCCCATACTCACATTCCTGTGCTCTGCTTCCTGCCACCAACCACCAACCTGCAAGGAACACGGTCCTGGTCCCACACAGGGCCACCAACCCCGTGGCACCATATCCCCATTGTCACTCACCCAGGATGAGGGCCAGCGCCATTGGTGCCATGAGGCAGGAGCAGCTGGGGGACCGTAAGACTGCAGCAGAGACAGGGAGTGGCCAGAGAGTTACTTTTAGTTTCCCCCAGGGCACAGGATGATGTGATGTCACCTCCTGATGTGGCAATGTGAGCCCTTAACAGTGGTGACACTGTGGTGTCTTTTTGTAGTGGGACAAGTGGAGAAGTGTTCACTGCACACTCTGCCTGTTGAGGTGCCCCACACGCCTGTCAACTCTGAGGTGTCACACACTGACCCCAAAGGGCTGTGAGTGTG